ACTGTCTTGTTCAACCACCATAGGACATCTCTCTCTGTCAATCATTATAATCTCTATCTCCCTGGCTTCTTGCATGAGGCGAATTCACAAGCATTCATCTCAGCTGTTTGGGCAATCGATTTCATTGATTGGGCCTCGGTCTCCCGCAATATTCGTTCTGTCTTTTCGCTTGAGCCGCTATTTCTTTCTGAGCAATGGCGACTTTGTCTTTCCAGTCTTCGGATCCGTCTACTTTGGATCGGTGAAGGGCTTTTGCCTTCTTCTTGCACATTGGACGGTCGGTCGACTCGGAATCCGCTGGGGTTGTCGTCGAAACCAATCCCTCGTCAGCCGTTCCAGCCGGTTCAGATGTAGGTAGTGATTGAGGCACATTGCTGCTCGGGCTTCTTGCTCGTTTCTTGGATCGATCCTTATTGAAACAAAAATCTATTCTTGAGGCCCTTGAAGCTGAAGCCGAGTCCAACTAGCTTTCGACTACTACCTGTTACTTACCTTCTTCTTACGTTCTTGTTCAACACCATCTGAATCTATCTCTGTCATCATTATATCTATATCTCCTGACTCTTGCATGAGAATGAAAACAATCGAGAAGAATATTTTGATTTCAAGAATGAAACTGATCTGAGTGAGAAGAGCGAGAGAGAGAAAGCGAGAAGAGAAAGTGTGAACAAGCAAGAAGAGAGAGAACAAGCGATAAGTGTGAGAGAGAACATCCAAGAGGAATGACTAGAGTCACAAACAGATACCGAGGTCATGCTTCTTCTTCAAAACCAATTTGGCAAACTGTTGGTGTCATTATTGAATTAGAAAAAGGCTCGAGTGTTGTCGAGTGACTTAATAATTGATCGGCTTCAATATTTTTGATTTCTAGAGACCAAATGCAGGAGGAGAACCAATTGAATCATTTACGGTTTTTGAGTGGCTATTTACAAAAGGTGAAGATAATGAAAACAAGTGAGAAGAAAGAGATTGATTTCAGGAACAAAAAAAGGAACAAGAGTGAGAGAGAACAGCTGAGAGGAATAACTAGAGTCATTCAGAGGAGCGGCCTTTGAGATCCCAGAGATGCTTGATCAAATCATTGCGGAGCTGGAAATGTGTTTCCACATCGCGAATTTCTTGGTAATTGGATAAGAACCGATCGAAATCAATGCGTGAGGGGCTGACCATATCAACAGGGTGGAGGACGTCGACAGTTGTGACCACAGCATGTTCATCTATGTCATAGTCATAGTTGAATTTTTGTTCGCGCTCATCCTCCACAATCATGTTGTGGAGGATGACACAAGTCTTCATTATGTTCACAAGGTTGTGATGCTTCCAGCCGCGGGCTGGCCGAGACACAATGGCGAATCGAGCTTGTAGTACACCGAACGTCCTCTCAACATCCTTTCGATAGGCTTCTTGTTTCTTTGCGTAATGCTTCTGTTCGAGTCCTTGAGGTTGGGTAAGTGTTTTAACCATCGTCGCCCAGTCAGGGTAAATCGAGTCCGTAAGGTAATAGCCCATTGTATATTCGTGATTATTGATTGTGTAGTTGCACCTGGGGGCAACACCATTCTGTAAGTTCTTGAAGAGGGGTGATGAGTCTAGTATGTTGATATCGTTATGCGAACCTGGCATGCCAAAAAAGGCATGCCAGATCCACAAATCGGCTGATGCAACCGCTTCAAGAACGACTGTCGGTACCTTTACATCAAAAGCAATTTATTCAGATCAGATAAGAGATATCAATGAAATTAAAGGAATCAGAAAGAACACACCTTCTCCTTTCCTTGGAACTGTCCTTTCCATCCGGATGGGCAGTTCTTCCACTCCCAGTGCATGCAATCGAGGGAGCCCAGCATTCCTGGAAACCCCCGTTTCTGTCCAATCTTCATAAGCCTTTCGAGATCTTCCACTGTTGGATGTCGGAGGTATTCACTTTCATAAAGTGAAACAATTGAGTTGCAAAAATTATCCATGCTATCCATCGAGGTTGTCTCCGAGAGCTGTAAGTATTCGTCATTGCAGTCGGCCGCACATCCATAAGCTAGCATGCGCAAAGCGGCAGTTATCTTGAGTAAAGGATGCAATCCCATTTTCCCAAGCGCATCGGGCTTTTGAACAAAATACTCGTTGTGTTCTTCCACATCTTTAGAAATCTTCAAAAACAGGTCGCGGCCCATTCGAAATCGTCGACGAAAGATGGAATCGGGGTACAGGGGAAATTCGGCAAAGTAGTGCTCTACAAGCTTACGGTAGGCACCTTCAAAGTCACGTGGTCGATTAGGTTGCTTTCCTGGCCTAGATCCACCATGAACGGGTTCGTCCTTCTCATCGAGCAGTAGGTTGGTTGCCTGTATGACCGCGTACGTCCTTTCATTCGAGCTTCTAATCAATTGGTGTTTTCGTTGTCGTATTTTATAGAAGGTTGAATCTTCAGTTAGATCTTCGGTGTTCATAGTGTAGTGTGAAGTGGTAGAAGGGAGGTGGCGGGAATGAGAGGGGCCGTTCGGGGGTGAGGTTTCATGGAAATATCAAGACAAGATAGCGGCTTGCGGTGGAAAAAGAGAATCTGTCCGGGCCCTATATCTTTTTTGCGGTCCCTATTTGAGGCATATAGGGCCCCGCAAATAGGGCCCGCGGTGGAGATGCTCTTAGATCAGGTCTTGTGCCCAGGGCCAAATAGTTTAGAGAGCCAATAAATGATTTATATAGAGTCGGTGATACCGGTTCTCCCCAATTTGTTACCAGGTTATCGCCCAGCAGAGGAGTGTAGGTGGGAATAATGGTGTCCTGAATTTGTTCGCAAAACTTCTTGATGGTTTGGTCAGTAAGCAGGTGTTGACTTAGGTAGATGGCATCATCGGAATAGTCTAGTTTGAGTCCCACTAGCTTCTCCGGCTTTGCATCCCACTTCACGCACAAGCTAGATTCAAGGTTGACCCGTAAATGTTCCAAAGCAGTTGTTGTTGCTGAAAACAATGCTGTCATCAACATGAATCCATATGATGATGATGGACGAGCCTTTCCGGTAACAATACAAGCATTCTTCAACTTTGTCACAGTCAAAATCCCAAATGTGGAGGAGATTCTTGAAATGTTTCCACCAGC